CCCTAAACCCTAAAACCCTAGATCCCAAATCCACATCCGAGCCTCGCCGCGAGCCCCGTCGCCTTCGGGTCTTGGCCTCACTCCGGAAAGACCTGAAAAGCATCGAGGGCTCGGCTTTCAGGTTTAGGGCTTTTTGGGTTTAGAGTTATAGAGTTATAGGGTTTAGGGTTTAGGGTTTAGAATTTTGGGTTTAGGGTTTAGGGTTTAGGGCTCGGCTTTCGGGTTTAGGGCTTTTGGGGTCTAGAGTTATAGGGTTTGAGTTTAGGGTTTCGGGTTTAGGGCTTTTTGGGTTTAGGGTTATAGGGTTTAGGGTTTAGGGTTTTGGGGTGAGGGTTTAGGGTTTAGGGCTTGGGGTATAAGAGTTTCGGGTTTAGAGTTATAGGGTTTAGGATTTAGGGTTTAGGATTTTGGGTTTTGGGTTTAAGGGTTTAGGGGTTTAGGGGTTTAGGGTTTAGGGGTTTAGGGTTTAAGGTTTAGAGCTTCGGGTTTAGAGTTCTAGGGTTTAGGGTTTCGGGCTTAGGGGCTTAGGGTCCAGGGGCTTAAGGTTTAGAGTTGTAGAGTTCAGGGTTTCGGGCTTACAGGCTTGAGTTTTTGGGTTATACAGTTTAGAGCTTCGACGCTAGACGCCCAAACCCTGAAGTTCAGAAGGCCTTTAAGCCCCGAAGAACCTTTTAGAGGGTGAAGAATTGTAGGTATAGGGTTTAGGGTTTAAAGGGCCCTAAACCGTAAACCCAAAACTCTAGAACCGCAACCAAAACCCAAACCTTATAAACCCTGAAACCGCAAACACTCAACCCTAACTCCCCTATGGTTAGGGTTTAGGGCAGTATAAGCCAAAAGCCAAAGACGGGCTTCCGAGGGAGTAAAAATCTAAGGTTGAACCCATGGGCCCCTAGTATGGGCCCTTAACCCTGGGATCCTTATACACCTACTATATACCCTATCTGTATGCTTAATGGTCCCTGGAAAGGCCTAAGGGCCCATATTAAGGGCCCATATTTCTAACCTCAGAAAAACCCTAAACCCTAAACCCTAAACCCTAAACCCTAAACCCTAAACCCTAAACCCCTAAACCCAAAACCCTAAACCGTCGAAACCGTTCCGGGCCGGCCTGAGGCATCTGGAGGACTGGGGACTCCACCCTGGCGAGTCCTCGTCAGGGGGTTTAGGGTTTTAGGGTTCCGGGGTTTAGGGGTTTAGGGTTTTAGGGTTTAGGGGTTTTAGGGTTTTAGGGTTTTAGGGGTTCAGGGGCTTGGGGTTTAGGGTTTGGCGGGGGATTTGGTTTTGTTTAGAGGCTTGGGATTTATTTAGGGTTTAGGGGTTCGCTGCGGGTTGCGGAAAAGGGTTTTGGCATGTGTTGAACTATAAATATATGCTAATTTGGGAGCTCTAAGGGGATACTATTTCGCATTCTCCCGACCCCTCTATTGCATAATTCGATACGGGTTCCACACGGGTGGGGGGCCGTGAAATGCCTTAGTGCTTTGGGGTTTTGCGTGCGTGGCCTTGGGACTTTAGGGTTTCAGGGACTTTGGTGTTTCAGGCAACGTTGGGGTTTCAGGGCATAGGGTGCTAGAGTTTAGGGTTGAGGGTTTCGGTTTGGGATTTGCTGCATAGCTGCTACGGTCTGGAGTTGTAGCCCTAAGGGGCTCTAAAAGCCCGCAGTTCCGCAGGCTTGGCATCCGCGCGGAAATACGATGCAGCATGGGCATGGTCGCTCCCTACGGTCCGAAAAACTGTAAATTGGTCAGAAACCTGGAAACTTTCAAGACAGTCCCCAGCCCCAAACCACTAAACCCTAAACCCTAAACCCTAAGCCCTAAACCCAAAGCCCTAAACCCTAAACCCTAAACCCCAAACCCTAAACCTACAAACCCCAAATGCTACACACCACCCCAAAACCCCGGCCGCCCACCTCACCACGTCCCAGCTCTGCCGCGCTGATCTCTGTGAGACTCCAATCCGAAGCCCTTCCGGAACAGAGGCTTAGGAGTTTTTGTTTAGGTTTAGGGCTTTTTTAGGGTTTAGGGTTTAGGGTTTAGGGTTTAGGGCTTTTTAGGGGTTTAGGG